GAAATCTTCATCACATAAACATAGTTTAATAGTTTAATAATTTAGTAGTTACTGTTTAAACTTTGCATTTCAGTTTTGCTAGTAGTTAAATAATTTAGTTTTGATAATATCTTAACATCCAAAATTAGTGACAGTAATTTTGTTTTACTTTCTGTGAATTTCCTAGTTAATTTATCATTTCAAATTTAAACCTTCCCCGTGGGATCGATATTTGGGGCTTAAATAAAAATCATTTATTACTTGATAACAATACGTATAATTGCGTAGAATCTCATCATTAATTGCTTAAATTTCTTAATTAAATATAGAGCATCAAGTTTTTGGCGCTGTTATATAGCGAAGTCAACTTTATAATTTTTACACAACTATATTTTCTCAGGATCAAGTTTTTGGCGCCGTTGTCGGGGATGGTAATGGTAAATTAAATATATTTGGTAAATTAGGAAATTTAGAGATATATATATATATATATATAAATCAAAATCAAAAAAATTAAAAAAACAAAAATCCAAAAAAGAAATATATTTTTATTTAAGAGTTATTTTTAAAAAAATTTCTTTGCTTATTATATTTGTTTATGTGAAATATTGGATATGAAGGTTTAGTACCTTACGATTCAGAATTAGAAATACTATTAGAAAAATTCAAAAACAATAAAAAGAAATTAAAAATTTAAACAAAATGACAAATAACTTAGATAATTAAATAAATGAAAATTGACAAAGAACTTTAAAAGATTATATTAATCCAACAGCAGATGAACTTCACGTAACTATTCAAAATCTTGATGTTGCTGCTAATTCATTTGAGTTTAAACCTATTATTATCCAAATGGTGCAAAATAATCAGTTTGGAGGAACACCTACTGAAGATCCTAACTTATATCTTGTTAGTTTTCTTGAAATATATGCTACTTTTAAATATGACGGAGTGTCTAATGATGCTGTTAGGCTTAGACTTTTTTCTTTTTCATTAAGGGATAAAGCCAAAGCTTAGTTAAATTCATTAGCACCTGGATCTATCAGAACTTGGGGAGAACTATCACAAAAATTCTTGGCTAAATATTTTCCACCCTCGAAAACTGCTAAGCTTAGAAATGATATTACATCTTTTTGTCAGTTTGAAGAGAAATCGATATATGAAGCATGAGAAAGATTTAAGGATCTTCTTAGAAAATGTTCATACCATGCTTTACCAGATTGGTTAATAATTTAAACATTTTATAATGAATTAGTAGGATCACTTAGATCTATTATAGATGATGCTGTTGGTGGATATTTAATGTCAAAACCTTTTGATGAATCATACTCTTTAATAAAAGAAATGACTACTAATAATTTTCAATGGCCATCTGAATGGGTAAATCCTAAGAGAGAAGCTAGTATTCATGAATCTGATGCAATTTTTATTTTAGCATCTCAAATTGCTGCTATTTCGAAAAAGATTAATCAAATTGGAGTGAACTATTCTCAAATACCCTCAGTATTAGAGAAAAATTCACTAAGATAGATAATTGATACTCAATCATCTTATGAAACTTTGATTATTATCCTCTTGAATTTAACTCTAACCCTAACCCACAAGTTAAGGAAAAGAAGTTGACGATGGAAGAAGTAATGTTGAATATGGGAAATCAAATACAAAATCAATGGGCTGTTATTAGAAATATTGAAAAATCAATTTGGACATATTGCTACTGCACTTAATAACATACCTTCAGGAATTCTTCCGAGTACTGTGGAAGTTAATCCAAAAGATCAAAATAAGGAGCAAATTAAAGCTATTCAATTACGAAGTGAAAAAAAAATAAGTTAAACCAAGAATCCAAAGAGAAACTGAAGTTAATGAAGAGAAGGAAGAAGTGAAAAATGACCAAAATTAAAATGAACAAACACAAGTTCTCTTAAAAAAGCCATTATCTCCTTTTCCTCAACTACTGAAGCAGAAGAATAAAGATAAACAATTTACAAAATTTTTGAAAATCCTTAAGAAATTAACGATAAATATTTCTTTCATTGAGGCTTTAGAATAATGCTAAGTTATGTGAAATTTATGAAAGATGTAATAAACAAGAAAAGGAAGTTTGTAGATCATGAGATTGTTGCACTCAGTGAAGAGTGTAGTGCTATTATTCAGAAAAATTTCCTGAAAAATTAAAATATCTTGGTAGTTTTATTATACATTGTGCTATTGGTGAAAAGTTTTTGGAAAAGCCTTATGTGATTTAGGAGCAAGTATCAATCTTATGCCTCTATCGATTTTTAAACGCATAGATTTGGGAGAGATTTGCCCTACTACTATAACTCTTCAGTTAGTTGATCGATCAATAACTTATCCAAAATGAGTTATAGAAATTGTATTAGTTAAAGTGGATAAATTTATTTTCCATGTAGACTTTATAGTATTAGATATGGAGGAAGATAAAAAAATTTCTATTATTTTGAGAAGACCATTTCTTGCAACAGGGAGAGCTGTAATAGATGTGCAAACAGGAGAATTCATAATGAGAGTTAACGATCAAGAAGTAACATTTAATATTACAAAAGTTATGAAATATCCTGTAATAGAAAAAAGATGATGAATGTTTTAGGATGGAAGTTACTGATTATCTGAGTAATGAGCACTTTAAGAAACAATTTGAAGACAAATTAAGGCAAGGAAATTTTTTTGAGAACGAGGACAAGATAAAAGAAGCAGATTTAGATTATATTCAGGACAAATTTGAAACTTCAGATTTGTTGGAAAATGATAATAAAAATCTTATTATTCAAATATTAAAGCACCTAAACTTAAATTGAAAATATTACCTGCCCATTTAAAATATGTTTTTTAAGGAGAGTCATCTATATTGTTTGTTATTGTATCTTCTGAATTAACTGAAATTCAAGAACAAAAATTAATAGAGATGTTGAAAAGATACAAAAAGACTTTTATATTAACTTTAGCAGATATTAAAGAAATTAGTCCTTCAATTTATATGCATAAAATTCTATTAGATGAACCATACGAACCTAAAGCTGATTCTCATAGGAGATTAAGCCCAATAATGAAAGAAGTTGTTAAAAAAAAATTTAAAAATTGTTAGATGCTGAAATTATATATCCTATTTCAGACAGTGCTTGGGTGAGTCCAATTCACTATGTCCCGAAGAAAGGAGAAGTGGCCATTGAAGAAATGAGAAAAATGAATTAATTCCAATAAGACAAGTTCCGGTTGGCGAATTTGTATTGGTGCATTGATTATAGAAAATTAAACACTGCAACAAGGAAAGATCACTTTCCTCTACCCTTTCTAGACAAAATGTTGGATAGATTGGCTGGAAACAAGTACTATTGCTTTTTTAGATGGATATATCAGTTATCACCAAATTCTAATTGCTCTAGAGGATCAAGAGAAGACAACATTTACAAGCCCTTATGGAACATTTGCTAACATTTGCTTCATTTGCTTTTCGTAGAATGCATTTTGGATTATGCAATGCACCTGCAACATTTCAAAGATATATGATGTCAATATTTAGAAATTTGATTGAGCATGGAATGTAAGTGTGTATGGATGATTTTTCTGTATTCAAAACTTCATTTGAATTATGTTTAAATAATTTAGAAAAGGTTTTGGAGGTATATGAAAGAATCAAACTAGTATTAAATTGGGAAAAAAAATGTCATTTTATGGTTGCAGGAGGTATTATACTTGGGCATAAAATTTCTGAAAATGACATGGAAGTAGATCCTGCAAAAGTAGATCTTGAAAAAATTCAAGTTTTTGAAAAATTACCACCTACTACTACCGTTAAAGGGGTAAGAAGCTTTCTAGGATATGATGGTTTCTACAGGCATTACATAAAAAAATTTTCGAAAATAACTAAGTCATTATGTCAACTTTTAGAAAAAGATACAAAATTTGATTTTAATAAGGAATGCATAAAAAAATTTGAATTATTGAAAGAAAAATTAATCACTGCACCTATAATAATTCTACCTGACTTGGAAAAACCATTTGAAATAATGTGTGATGTTAGTGATTATGCTATTGGGGCTGCTTTAGGACAAAGGCACAACAAGATTTTTAAGGTAATATATTATGCTAGTAAAACTCTAAATGATGCTCAAATCAATTACACAACTACTGAAAGAGAGTTATAGCTATTTTTTATGACTTTAATAAATTTAGACCTTACTTAATTGGAACTA